AAAAAAAAAAAAAAAAAAAAAAAAAAACTCGGCCCGACCCATTAGACCCGGAACCGTTCCGGTTAAATTTTGCACCGAAGAAACCCGGAACTGGTAAACCCGGTAAAAAATAACCGAAAACCGGCCCGGTAACGAAACCGGCCGGTTCCCTTTTCCTCTACCCCCTACTGGCCCGGCCCGGCCCCTTGACACCTATAAGTTCAGGTAAAGCGGGTTGATCTTCTTGTGGCTCCTTAAGTGGTGATGGCTCTTGAACTTGTTGTTGTTCAGATAATTCATGAGAATTTTTCTGAGCAACATTCAAATTTCCAATAAATAAAGGTACCACATGTGGTTCCCTTATTTTTTTAAATTCGACCCTTTGAGTCAAACCACTCCCACTTTCTTCATATTCCTCAAGAAATTTAGCATTTCTAGCTTCAATAATTTTAGGAGAATGAGAAGGCCAATAAAATCAAAATTTCTTAGACCTAACGGCAAAGCCTATAAAATAAACCGCTTATTATTCTTTCATCCAACTTCTTTAGTTATGGGTTATAAACCCGCACTTCAGTTGGACATTCCCAAATGTGTAAATAGTTTAAACTAGGTTTTCATCCTTTCCGTAGCTCGAAAGATGTCTTGGGGACAGCCTTGGATGGAACCCTATTTAAAATATACACAGCAATTTTTAAGGCTTCACTCCATAAGGATAAAGGTAAACTTGATCTGATAATCATGCTTCTTACCATATCCATTAATGTCCGGTTCTTTCTTTCTGCCATACCATTTTGTTATGGTGTTCCTGGCATGATATATTGGGCAATTATATCTTCATTTTCAAGGAACTCAGCAAATATACCCTTAACTTGTCCCCTATCTGTGTACCTACCATAATATTCTTCATCCTATCAGATCTTACAATTTTGATCTGAGCACCAGTTTGTTTCTCTACTTCTGTTTTGTAAACTTTAAAAGTATCAAGTGCTTCTGATGTGTTAAACAGAAAATAGAGATCATATATCTTGAATAGTCATCAATAAATGAGATAATATATCTCTCACCATTCAAGCAAGGGGTAGGAAAAGGTCCACATATGTCTGTATGTATGATCTCAAGCAATTGAGAACTCCTTTTGTCACATTTAGCTGATTTGTTTGTCTGCTTACCTTTTATGCAGTCCACACAAGTCCCAAATTCAGAAAAATCAAAAGCTTTTAGAACTTCATCGTTAACCAACCTTTTGACTCTAACAATAGAGATGTGTTCCAATCTCTTGTGCCAAAGACTTGATGAGTTCCTATTGATAATCCATCGCTTAATGCGAATCTTTTTGTCTTGCAAAGTTAAAATATTGCATTCAAATGTGGGGTATAGCTAAAGTTTATATAAATTTTCATTTAAATTATATCCACTTATTGATAGTCTTGAAAGAGAAATTAAATTTCTAGAATATTCTGGAACATAAAAAGTATTTTTTAAAACTAAGTGAAAACGTACCATCCTTCAAAACGAGCCTATAAGTCCCCACGCCTTCCACACGTGAGCGCGTCCTATTGCTAGAATAGACGTATTGTTCATTTCCTATCGACTTCCTCTGAGTTAGAAAGCCTTGCATGATTTTGGTAATGTGAATTGTAGCACTAGAATCAATCCACCATGTATTATTAGAAACTTCAGTAAAATTAGATTCATAACATACAAAGGTAAAATTACCTTTCTTCTCAAGTCATTTCTTGTATTTCAGGCAATCTTTCTTCCAGTGTCTCTTCTTGTTACAGAAACGACAAACATCTTTGTCAAAAGTGCCTTTCTTCTTTATGTGAACACTTTTTTTCTTCTTTGCATTTCTCTTATTATGAGTCGCCAAATTAACACTTTCAGGTGTCTCATGCTTCAACTTCTCTTCTTCTTGAACACACATGGTCAAAAGTTTATTGATTGACCATTTATCCTTATGTGTGTTGTAAGAAATCTTATACAGACCATATTTCGCAGGAAGGGAGTTGAGAATGAAATGCACAAGAAATGGTTCAGACATATCCACCTCAAAGAACTTGAGTTTTGCAGCAATGTCTCTCATCTCCATAATGTGCTCGCGCGCTATACGACTTTTGTCAAAAGTCATACTTGAGAGCCTCTTCATAAGGGTGTTGGCCAATGGCTTGTCAGAGCTTATAAATTGTTCATCAATTGCTTTCATGTAAGCTTTGACCTTATTGCTATTAGGGATAGAACCCCTAATATTTTGGCTTATGTGGGCTTTGATGAGCATTAAACTTAAGCGATGAGATCGCTCCCACCGCTCATAATTAGCCTTAGCCGCTGGCGTACTTGATTTCGTAAAAATAAGTGGTTCTTCTACACGGAGTGCCATGTCCAGATCCGAGCACCCTAAAGTGAGAAGGACTTTCTCCTTTCATTCAACATAATTGTCACGAGAAAGCATTGGAATTCGAGCATTCTCATTATAAACAGCGGTATGAAAGCTGTAAAGACTGCAAAGCAAGGATAAACATACATAAGCTATGAAATACAATCCATCAAAGGTGAATCGCATAAAATACCAATTCTAAGTAAATTCTAGACCCTCCTGTGGGTAGAGGTTGAAACTCATGCATAGAATTTACTTTACTTTATTAGACTAGTAAACCAAAACACATAGAAATTAATCTGTACCTGTGTTCATAAGATAATTTTCAACTTAAAGGTTTACTATCTCATTCCAATTAATCTCACCGAAATGATTACCTCCATGTAGGGCATAGTTGCCATTTCAATGAGATAACTGGACTAAATAGATGTCATTATAATTTTATATTATTAATCTTTATGTGATTAAACATCAATCACTCAAGATGTTGTGGCTACTCCTGCATACATAATACAAAAGAAAACTTCAAAATTGACATCTTACATTGATAAACCTTTATAATTAACTTCAATAGAATATTGATTAGTTTCAAAGTGGAGATACAAAGTATAGGCAGGATGCATATATATCCTCAAATAATTCTTATTATTAATCTAAATATTATAAGAACTTCCAAAGATTTCAACGAACACAATATGTTATATTACAGAATTGAAAACTAAAGTGTTTGTTTCTTATCATGTCAAAATCTCACTAGGCAATTCCTCCAGATTAATAATCTAATGGCCAAATACATATGACCCCTTAAAGTAAATTTCATTTAGACAGAACAATGCCTATGGAACACTGCAACTACAATAAAAGTGTATCAATTGAACACATATTGCTGACATGGCATAGTGTGTGCATCACACATTCTTTTTAGAGCGTGAAAGAAAAAATAAAGCAACTAATTTCTTTTTATTTAATTTTTCTTCTCTCTTGCTGCCACCACCTCTATCTTGACACCACTACCTTCGTTACCTCCAACGCGGCACCACCACCACCTTGGTTCCATGTGACGATGAAGATAAACTCATATAATTTCTCTTTTTTAATCTTCAATTACACTTAAAAGTGAAATTACCTTTACATTTGTTGAGGTATTTAAATACCATGGGCTCAAAACAACAATTAATCATGGGCATATTGCAATCATTAGCACGATTGTTCTATGAAAATTAAGACTTTAGATCCATGGTCTACAACATGTCTAGCGTGTCATTCAATCAATTCAATAAAGCAGATCAGCAATTTTGCTAGCGCGGACAAGTACGTTACTCTGATTCAACGATCTTGATTGCTCCGCTGGTCGAACAACTGAAGGTCCTCATCAAGTGCGCCGCACAACACAGGAAGTAAAGGCAACGATAACGACAGTGTAATTTCAGAGTGCACTCTGTTATGCCAGAAGGAACACCACTACCAGTTGAATTCTCCCTTGGAATCACTCACGGAGCTCCGCAAATTTTTAAACTGTGTTAGTTGTTAAGTGGGAGAAAAGGAAAAAAGAGAAAAGCAAGGAAGGGAATCAAGGATTGAGGGAAAAAGAGATTAGGGTTCACTACAGCTTCATAATTACCGTCGCTACTGCCTCCACTGACCTCCTCCACCGGGCCTCCGACATAGACTCCACCAATTATTGCCCCCAAAAAAAAGCGATAAACAAACTTAGTAGGGGAATTGGAATTATTTTAGCTTTTTTTTTTTTTTATTTCGATGGACAAGAGTGGGTTGCTTTAGTGGTGAGTATCATCCACTTCCAACCAAGAGGTTGTGAGTTCGAGTCACCCCAAGAGAAAGGTGGAAGTTTTTGGAGTGAGGGAGCTGAGGGTCTATCGGAAATAGCCTCTCTATCCCAGGTAGAGGTAAGGTCTGCGTACACACTATCCTTCTCAGACCCTATTAGTGAAATTATATTAGATTGTTGTTGTTATTTTTTTTTTCATGCTCAAATGCCTTTTTTTAAATTAAGAACCATATGTCATTTTTTTACTGACTTATTTTTCATGTCACAAGTGTGTGAATCACAAGCATTTTTTTTTTCTCATGTTGTAAATGATGTGTTCAATAGGTACACTTTTATTGTGGTTAGAGTGTTCAATAGCTATTAGGCCTAGTTAAAGTATTGAAAAATGAAGCAAACTTTAAGGGGCTATATATGTATTTGGCCTAATCTAATACTTTAAATTGACTAGTGCTTCAAGAACACTTCAAAAATCTTTGTTTTAAAAGGCAGCAACTGAATTCTAGTTCCAAAAAATAAAGTTTGTTATGAAAATAATTATAATGTGGATGTCCATTTATTACTCCGCTATAGATAATTTTTCTGAAGAAGATTATCCGTTTGGTACTCTATTGAAGTTTATCTACAAGCAACTGATGCAGACAGGTTGCAAACAACTCAATGAAATAATTTGCAACAACTTCTTATTAAACATGCAGATTGCAAACAGCTCATGCAGACAGCTTACAAGCAGTTCAAGAAAAGCATCGCAGCTGCTTCCTGAAAAGTCTCGCAGCTGCTTCCTTTCTTCTATAAATAAAGGAGTCTTCAGTTCATTGTGTATATGAGTTTGAAGTTGAATAAAAATATCAATTTTCCTCTATACTTGTCTTCGATTTATTTACTTTACAGCCTTTATTTTATAACACGTTATCAGTACGAATCTCTAATTTCATCATCACTACCAGACTGTGAGGTAACATACTGTCCTTGTGCGTGGACAAACCGAGTTCATTCAGAGCATTTTGAGAAAAATTACATCCTTGGAGTGGTGAACAACACGTTGGTTTTGTTAATTTCCAACTCTATGAAGAGATGAAATTCTTCTGGTGTCATTTCTCAAAGATAAGACTTAGTAATTTATAATTTTAATTTGATTTTCTTCGTGAGCTTGAAAAATTATGCTTATTATCTATGTCCATCACGTGCTAATTCTAAGCAACTAGTAATGCAGGACTTGCAGGTATATTGTGATTTGAAATACAAATTTGAAGGCTAAGAAGACAATAGATATTGAATCAACTTGCTATGTTACGTGCTTTGTATACATATTAGTATATAACAACTATTTCTTTTATATACTTGTTTTCATCATGTTGTCATCTCCATAAAAGATTACAAAGTGAATAAAAATGTCAGATCCATCTAAACTCCACAGAATTTATGAGAAATATATAATTACCAACAGTGGTAATATTTTCTAAGTCTCGTTATGACTTAACTTCATGGTTCACTTGAACTCCAGCAGAGTATGGCCACCAGAAGCAGTTATGTTTCATAAATCTCATTGTAACTAAATTTTGTTAACCACCAGAAGTGTTATATGCCTATGACCATCAGAAGTGATAATTTAAGCTTGCTATGGTTACAATGAAGATAAGTTCGAGAAAATTCTCTATATTATATTCATACCTCGATTTGTTTCTAAAGTAGAAATATCTTAAAAGAGGTTCGAAGCATCACAATTTGATGTGATTATGCACGTTCAGATAATTATGTTCTATCTCCTGAAGGAAGAGAACTTTTGATAATATTAATCCATTTCCTGAAGTGAATGTGACAATATTAAATATGAATACGCTCTTGATGTAAATATATTACGATTCACCTCCAGAAGAGGTAATATGATTGAGAGAATATATTCTCAATATTTCAAATTTCTCCTGAAGTAGTAAATAATTATAATTTCCTCCTGAAGCAGGAAAATATTATGTAGTGGTAAAAAATATTAAAATTCTTAATTTTCGTCATTTATAAATTTAGAATTATTTTTATATTGTTCATTTGATTATGATTTTCTCTCATGACACCAGAAGTGTCTGAACAATATTTGGTAGTACAAAATTTATCAAAAGCTCCTGAAGATCTAACTGTTTGTCTAGAAGACACATGACACTAGTAGTGTCGGATAAATATTAGATTGTGGATGATAAATGAAGACTCTCGGAGAGCTTATATATAATTATGTCATTCATATTATATGGTTATGGTTAAAATATATGTTGTAGTAAACCTGCAGTTTACTAATAAATGGCTATCATATTGAGACTACAAATGACTAGAAGATTGAAAATCTTCATGTTTCCACAATTATAGGGAGTAAAATAATATGTATATGAGAAATGACCCGCCTTAATCTTTAATTTGTACTATATCATGTATCATAGTATATCAAAAACTTACTAATGCAAAAGCAGTCACAGTAAACTAAAAGTTTTACTGAGGCAAAAGTAGCTACTGTAAATCAGAAATTTACTGATACAAAAGTAGCCACAGTAAATCAGAAGTTTACTGATGCAAAAGTTTATGCCATAGTAAACCAGAAGTTTACTTAGAGATAGCACATGCCATGATAAACTTGAAGTTTTCATTTGCCATTTTTAAATGAGCTATTTGAGAATTCAGATAAGCATATACTCAAGAACTAGAAGATTCTTCAAGAATTCTCTTGTGTTGCTTGTTCTCATAATAAATTGATTATGCCAGCTAAAATTGGGACTAAAATCCCTAAATTCTGGAATATACAAAAGGTGAATATGAGCTAATTCACCTATCATGTGAACTACTTATAGATGTATATATAAGATAGTTGCATGTGTTTTTATTGTCAACCTGCAGTTTGGCATTTGAAATTGCTTTTCTCAATTAAGAACATAATTTTCAGATTATGAAATCAAGATAGTTCATCTTGATAATGCTGATTTATATCCAAGCTAGTTTAGTATTGAATACCTCCTATTAATGGCTAAACTATTGCTTATGAGAACAAAGCCTCATGTGTTGGTCTAAGATTTTCTAAATTGCATACATCAACACTTATATGCATCAGACCAACAAAATATGATAAGTTCTCCCCTCACAATTGGTTTAGGATCAGAAACCAAATATTTTTAGTATCTAATAATTTTTGATGTGTGGTATATGATTAATTTTTCTGCCACAATGCATAAAAATAGGC